CAAGCCGGAAAAAAAGCGGCAGCCATGTTTATTTAAATCCCGCGGGGGATATTTAAATCCCCCGCGGATTTCCCTATTCCAAAGTTAGAAATTAGCATGCCTCTTCCGGAGAAGGGGCCAGTGTAGACGTAGCCTAGCAGTGCCACTCTGCAACTCACAGCTGGTTTGGGAGTGGCAGCAGCTGCTGATGTGGAGGGCAGGAAGGATCACTGGATGAACATTTTGTAGGGACAGAGTCTGCTCCTAGCTAGGCCTAACTGGGCAAGCAAGTGTTCTGTGACTCAGTTTCCCCACACACCCATGTTGTGGAAGGCCATTGGGGCTAGGACAGTTTTATACGGGATGTGTGCAGCACCGGGCGCTATGCGGAGAGATTCTCAGCACCTGACACCAGGCTAGAGGGGCTGGTGGGGATGATCCAGCCTTGGTGGGGTGGAAAAGGGAGTAGGGGTGAAAGTTGGCAGGGTGGGGTGGGGGGGGTCTGAGGGCTGTCTCCAGGCTCACGCTCTCCCCTCTACAGGACTCCACCAGCTGATAGTATGCTGCTCAAGCATGCCTTCCCCAGCTCAGTTGCAACCCTGCTGCTCCAAGCCTGCCTGCTGCTCCCCCCGGTGGCTGCCTACATCCACGCGGTGAGTGGCCAAGGGCACGGCATGTCCCTGTTGAAATGGACTTTCCAGGTCCTGGGGGGTAAGAACAGAACCAGGAAGTTGGGTACCTGGGAGCAGTGCAGACGAGCTGGGGGGTACCAGACCCTCTCACCCCAGCCTAATCCTTCCCCCCCAGGTGACGGATCACAACTTCACTATGGACTTCTCAGACCTGCCTGCCCTCTTTGGAGTGCTTCTGCCCAGGGAAGGACTCGTGGTGCGTTGCTGCTGCTCCGGCAGCAAGATCCATGGTGGTTAGAATAGGGGGGCTCCAGGACTCCTAGGTTCTCTCCCTGGCTCTGGAGGCTTAATGGGGGCTGTTGGGTTAGAGCAGGGGAGCTCCAGGTCTCCTGGGTTCTCTCTCTGGTTCTGGGAGTGGAGTGGGGGCTGGTGGGTTAGATCAAGGGGACTGGGAGGGAGGATTCCTGGGTTCTCTTTCTGGTGCTGGGAGGGAATTGGGGACTGGTGGATCAGAGCAGGGGAGCTGGGAGCCAGGAGTCCTGGGTTCCCTGGCTCTGGGAGGGGAGTTGTGGCTGGTGTGTTTGAGCAGGGGTGCTGGGAGCCAGGAGTCCTGGGTTCCCTGGCTCTGGGAGGGGAGTTGTGGCTGGTGTGTTTGAGCAGGGGTGCTGGGAGCCAGAACTCCTGGACTCTGTTCTCGATTCATCCTGTCCTGCTGCAGGCCTATGGGGTATTGATTGTTATGTGCTGCTTTGCTTCAGGGCTACCTGATTGAGGCCAAGCCCAGCAATGCCTGTGAGCCCATTGAGGGGCCCCCAGGCCCCAGCAATGCCACCCACTTCATCGCCCTCATCCGCAGATACAACTGCAACTTTGACATCAAGGTATGAGAGAGTCCCAGGGAGGCAATCACAGGGGAGAGCCTAGTGCATTGCCAGGACCCCTAGACAGATCCCATCCTGACCCCACACCCAGCTTCTGCCCTGAACCATGAGGTCCAAGAGCCCTTTTCACACATCTGTTGCACTCAGGACTTCTGGGTTCTCTTGCCAGCTCTGGGAGCTGGTGGATTAGAGCGGGGGGGGGGGGGGGGGAGGTAAGAGCGAGGACTCCTGGGTTTTCTTCAGTACCAGATTTATCCATAAGCCAAATAAGCCACAGTTTAGGGCCTCAGGTTACAAGGGCCCCTCTAAATACAAAAAAAAATTACTGAATTTCACTCTTTTGGTAGTGTCATGGGGCCTCTAAAATTTGACATAGCTTTGGGCGTCAGCATATTTTAATCTGGCCCTGATTCTCTCCCCAGCCCCTGGGTTGTGGGGGGAGGCTGAGAGCCAGGACACCTGAGTTCTCTCGCCAGTTCTGGGAGGGCACTGTCTCCCTTACCCATCCCCCTGCGCCCCTCTAGGTGTGGCACGCGCAACAGGCAGGGTTTCACGCCGCCGTGGTGCATAACACTGGCTCCGACAAACTGCTCAACATGGCCTGGAATGATGGTGAGTGTGGGAATTTGGCTCTCCCTGGGCTCTGCCCCCACGTTCAGAGTAGTGGGGTGGGTGTTGGCTCCCCCCCATCATGACCCACATTTTTCACTTGCCCCACTGCCTGCCTTCCTTGCTGCTGAATTTCCCCCCCCATCCTGCCCTCTGCCTCCCACCTTCCCCACTGCCAGGGATCCTCCCCCGATCCTGCCCCACACCTCCCCTGCTGCTGAATCCCCCTCCGATCCTACCCTCTGCCGCCTGCCTTTCCTGCTGCCAGATCCCCTGACCCCGATCCTGCCTCTCCCTGCCAGATCCTTCTAAAAAGGCAGCCACTGGAGAAGGTTGAGGTGTTTCCTGTGGGGCTTAGACTCCAAATGCTGTGGGCTTGGCTGAACCCCTGTCCTATTTCTTTGCCCCTTCCATCCCCGTTGTGCCCCACAGAGAGGATCCGGGAGCAGATCGCCATCCCTTCAGTCTTCGTGGGGCAGACAGCTTCAGAATACCTGCACTCCATGTTCATCTATGAGAAGGGGTATGCCCTGCCCCTGGGTACTGCACTGCCTGGGCCCCCTCCAGGGAAAGGGTTGATAGGAGACTCCACCTGTCTCTTTTCCCTCCCCCCCAGATCTCCAAGGTCCATCCCCTGAGCCCACAGGGACCCCTGCAGACCCAGCTCCCTACCCCCTCAGAGCACTCCTGGTCTCACCCACCTGACATATGGGTGCTGCTTTTCTGGCCTGCCTGTCTGCCCTGATGGGCAGAGCGGGGTTCTCACTAGCTCCTGGGAGCTCCATCAATAGGAATGAGGTTGGATTAGAGTGGGAGGGGGGAGCTGGGAGCCAGGCCTGGCTCTGGGAGGAGACTAGGGGTGGTGGGTTAGAGTGGGGGAAGGGCTGGGAGCCAGGACTCCTGGGCTCTTCTCTGGATGCAAAGTGGTGGCTAGCAGCCAGAATCTCCACACTGACCAATCCCGCCATCTCTGTCTCCCTAGCGCGCATGTTATCCTGATTCCTGAGTACATCTTCCCGCTGGGCTATTACCTTATCCCCTTCACCGGCGTGGTCGGCATCATCATTGCTGTCATGTGTACCATCCTAGTGAGTTGTTCCACCACACTGTGTGGGGCAGGAGCTGCCAGCCTTGGTTCTCCCCTGGGTTGTGGGAGTAGAGGTGGGGGCTGGTGGGTCAGAGCAGGGGAGCTAGGAGCCAGAACTCCAGGTTCGCTCCCTGGTGCTGCGATTGGATTGGGGTTGATGGGTTAGGGCAGAGGGTCTGGGAGTCAGGAGTCCTAGGTTTCCCATCTCTGGGAGGGTATTGGGGGTTAGAGTGGGGGGTAGGAGCCAAGACTTCTGGGTTCTCTCCTTGGCACTGGAAGGGAAGTGGGGGTTGGTGGGTTAGAGCACTGGGGGGTCTTGGAGCCTCCCTGAAGACATCTCCCGTCCCTGCTGGCAGATTGTGCGCTGTGTGCAGCACCGGAAGAGGCTGCAGCGGAACCGTCTCTCCAAGGAGCAACTAAAAAAAATACCCATCCAGAAGTATAAGAAAGGTAACTAGACAATAAGGGGTGCTGCCACTGGCCATGCCCCCTTGGGAGCTGCCCCATGTGAGTCAGAGCTGCCCAGGTGGCACTGGGTGAACTGCAGAGGGGAGGGTGGGGGGAGGGGTTACTGTGGGGTGGAGGCTCAGCAGAGGGATACTCTCCCCTGACAGGGCTAGGGGGTGCTGTGGGGTAGAGAGTGGGGCATGGGCTCAGCAGGGGCTCCTTCCCAACATGCAATGAATGTAATGGGAGCCCCATATTGCATACTAGGGCACCCCCCACCACTACCCAGAACCACCCCCACCCACTCAATGCAATGCAGTGTCTCCCCACCAGAGGGCTCTTCTCCACCTAGGAACTAGTTGAGCTGCCCCTACTCCCTCCATTTTTGCCTGTCCATCTGTCCTTCAGCAGCCCCATTTGGTTCCTACTGGGGAGGGGGAAACAGGCTAGCCCCCCCACATACCAAGATCCCCTCCCACCTCACTGGGGGGGGGAGATCAAACCCACCATTAAAATGAACAGTCCCTGCAACTGGGGCAGATCTAGGGACGTGGGGAAAGTTTGAGAGTACAGGGGAAGGAAAAGGAGACTGTGGGTGCTTCCTCAGAAGTGGGGTGCACCCAGTGTGACAGGTTCACAGGAGCCTCCTCCCACACCCTCTCCAGCTTCCTGCACAGCCCGGGTGGAGGCGAGCAACTGTGCCTGAGGGTGTCAGTAGCATCCCACGGCTCTGAGCACTCTTCCCACACCCTGTTCACCCACTTCCAGCAGCCCCTGTGCTCACATGCTCACTGTGTATTTTGGGGGATGCCTGAATTTTCCTCTTTCCTGCATAGCATATTCAGGGCTTCCAGTTCCATCACCGTGTCAGAACCATGCTCAGATTCCTGGTGTGCTTCTTGTGGGCTACAGGCAGGGAGCCAGTACTCCTGGGTTCTCTCCCCAGCTCTGGAGTGGGAGAGGATCTGCTGGGTTAGAGCAAGGGGGGCTGGGAACCAGAACTCCTGAGGTCTCTCCCCAGCTGCAGCAGATGGCTGAGCCTTGACCCAGCTCTGGAAGAGTGGCGAAGGAAGGGTTCTGGCCCCACGGTCTGTGACCTGTGTGGTTACATGGCATCTCGTGGCTGGTAAATGCTTCCCCACCAGACTCAGCCCAGGGCCTTATTAACAGTGGGGTGGGGGAGCTGGTGGGCCTGGAACAGTGGGGTCCATTTTGGGGTCAGCCTTCCCTGGACTGTGCTGGCTCAACTCCCCATGCAGGCTCTGGGGGCCCTCTGGGCAGGCAGGGCAGGGAGCACTGCAGCCAAAGGCTTGGAACCCTGCCCCCAGATCCAGCTGTTGAAGGTCCCTGGGTGGATGGGAGCAGGGCTGGGAGCTGGCACACTAACTAGGCTGACTGGTGCCGGCTCCTGCTGAGCCCCTGCAGGGGGTCAGTGCAGCAGGGAAGGGGGGACAGCAGAGAGACACGAGGCTGCTAGAGCAGTGGGTGTCAGGACATGAGCTACAGGAGCCCATATTCCTCTCCCAAACCAGTGTTCCCACTCAGGTGTGTGCCTGCACGGGTGCGCACCAAGAATGAGGCCAGCCCACCTCCTCAACAGAGCTGCACAGTGGCTGCTAAGTTGCTCCAGGGTGGGGCCACATGGCAAGTGGCAGCCCTGCCCCAGGAGCAGCAGGACAATCCCTGTGCAGCTCTAGGCCTAGCTTCAGTCCTTCCCTGGGGCTGGAGCTGCAGGCTGCATGGCGGGTGGCAACTGCTCTGATGGCCTCGCTCAGGGCCAGAGCTGTAGCTGTGTGGTGGGTGGCCGGCATCTGCTCTGGCGGCCAGGGCTGGCCAGGCCCTGGTGGTGGGGGTGGGCTGCATGGTGGGGCTCCGGGGATACTCTGGCGGCTGGAGCTGTTCTGGAGCCTGGGGCTGCATGGCGGGGACCGGGACTGCTCTAGTGGCCGGAGTTGCATGGCAGGAGGGCTGTTCAGTGGCTTGGGGTGCTCCTGGGGCCAGCTCCACCCCTTCCCCCAGGCTGTAGCTGTAGCCAGGGCCACATAGCAACTTCCTGACTATTCCCTGGGTGGGTTGGGTGGCAGCTGCCCAAAGCTGGAGCCAGGCTGTGGTGAGGCTGCTACTGGGGATGGAGTCCCCTGTGTCTCCCTTCCCCCTCCCATACTTCTCTTTTTCCCCTCAGAGCCCCCTACCCCCCCCAATGCTGTCCTCCTCCCCACATGTCAATGCCCCACCCCCCAGCACCTTACTCCCTGCAAACCCAGGGCGATGGCAGCTGCTTTCCTCTGCCCCAGGTGGGGACTCACAGCCAGCCCTGTGAGGAGCAGCTGGAGGGAGGAGGAGCATGCCTCACCTTCTCCCCACAAGGTGGGAGGTGCCACTTGGGAGAGTCTCTTTTGGGGAGCAGCACCACTGGTGGGTGCACATGACTTCATTGTTGGCACACAAGACAAAACTCACTCTGCTCATGGATGGAAAATCTTAGAGGGAACACTGCCCCAAACCCCCTCCTGGTTCTCTGTGGGTCCACAGTCGGGAGGCAGGACTCCTGGGTTCTCCTGGGAGTAGAGTGGGAGCTAGTGGGTAAGAGCAGGGGGGCTGGGAGCCAGGACTTCTGATACTGTTTCTACTACTTGAATGGGCCCTCCCCAGGCCCCGCTTCCCTCCCAGGTCTGAAAATAGAACCCAGGAGTCCTGTTCCCCCAACCTTGTCCTACACTTCCTAAGCTGTTGCAGCCATTTCACCGCCTGGTGGGGCCGCTGAGCAAGGCCTTTCAGGTTGAGTAAGTGCTGGGGAGGAAGCGCTGGGGAGTGCTTGCATTTACCTTATAAGGAGCGACTGGGTTCACTCTGCAGCCCCTCTGACCACTTCCCCTCCCAGGCGCAGGGGGGGGGGGAGTCAAAGCTTCCTGTTTTCCGTGAGACGCTCCAGGCGTAGAGCTGAGCAGGCAAAAGCTGAACTCAGGCCTCTGGCCCTGTGCTGTCAGGCCCGGGCCTTCTGTAAAAATGGTGGGCCCGCCAGCTAAACAGGGACCCCTCTCCCATCGCTGAGATACAGCCACCTGTGGGGCAGGGCAGCTGGTTACATATGGACCCCTCACCCGGCATTGAGGAGCAGCCACCTCTGGAGCAGAGATGTGGGTGCAAGGACAATTCTAGCCTTGTATACTCTTCTGTGAGACGCTGTATTTCATGAATCCAGTGTCCCAACACTAAGCACAGCCCAAATACAGTTCTAAGCCTCTCCCCAGTACTCCTAGGTCCTCTCCCTGGGAGAGGAGTGGAGGCTGGGAGATATTATCTCACTGTATGGGCTTGGCCTGGCCTCTGTGCCTAAGTAGCCCAACACCATGTGTCAGATCTAAGACTCCCTCCCATCTCTCTGCCAGGAGACGAGTACGATGTCTGTGCTATCTGTCTGGATGAGTATGAGGAGGGCGACCGGCTGCGGATCCTGCCTTGTGCTCATGGTGAGTGACCCGAGGATGCTGGAGCCAGCCAGCCCGGGGCAACCTGGGCCAGGCCAGAGACACTGCAACTCCCAATGGGCCCTGGTCCTGGAGTGGAGTGCATGGAGCACAGGATGTCAGCAGTCCTGGGTTCTCTCCCTGGCTTTGGTTGAGGAGGAGGGACTGGTGGTTAAAGTAAGGGGGCTGGGAGCCAGGAATCCTGGGTTCTCTCCCTAGCTCTGAGTGAGGGCTGATGTTAGGACAGGGACAGGGAGTCACCCAGATGTCTGGGTTCCACTCTGGTGGTGGGTGTAACCCTCCTTCCCCCACAGCCTATCACTGTCGGTGTGTTGACCACTGGCTGACACAGACCAAGAAGACCTGTCCCGTGTGTAAGCAGCGTGTGCTGCAGACGGCCGAGGACTCGGACTCAGATGGCGAGGGGCGTCAGCAGGGCGAAGAGGAGGAGGAAGAGCGCAACTCTGAGCGAGCCCCGCTACTGGGCCCCTCCCCCAGCATCCCCTCTTTTGGCAGCATGGCCACAGCACAGGGCTCACCCTCCGATGCGGGAGGCTCCGAGGAGCAAGAGAGGCCTCTGGGTACCCCCCAGGGCCAGCCCCCTGATGGCCCGCGGGGCAGCATTCTTGTCTAATCCCTGGCCAGGGTGGCTGGATGGACTCCCCAGCGGGGTATCTACCCTCTGAGCTTTCTTTGTATTTTAAACTGTGCACAAAACATGGGCTTCCCACTGCTGTAGGAATGAAGGGGTGGCCAGGTCCCACCTCAGGCCTGCAGCCCACAGGATCCATTATGTGCCAGCGCTCCAGTGTTGGGGCTTGCCTTGGGGTGAATTTGGGGTGTCAGGGCTTTGCAAGATGGTTTGGAGGGTTTGCTTTGCACAGCTTGGGGTGCGAGGAACATGGGGGCAGACCGGTTTCCCAGTGCTGAGGGAAATTCAGTCTAGTCAGAGTTGGAAGCCAGGACTGCTGGGTTCTTGCCCCAGCTCTGAGGGGGAGTTGGGATTGGTGGGGCTGTAGTCAGGGGAATAGGGTCTGAGTTTGAGGGGGGCAGGTCTGGAAGCCAGAACTTCTGGGTTCTTAGGAGGGGTGGGAACCCAGCACTGAAACAAACCAACCACCCCTCCCCCCATCCTGGGCTCAGTCTTGAGCTGACTGCATAGCCAGTCAGTTGTGGCCAGCTGGGTGGA